TTGCTGGCTGTAGCAGCGCTATAGCGCTGCTATAGCGCTGCACAGCAAAAACGCATAAAAAGCAAAGAAAATTCAAAAAGTCTTTTCAAAAAAGAATTAAAGGAATCCTGAAGTGATTCCTTCACCTTATCGGAAATTTCTCCATTTGCGTGTATTTCATTAAAATAATATTTGAAAATGCACTGAATAATCTTTGTATAGTTGCAAGAAGAACATGGGTATAGCTAACCTCAGAGGTATCGTGTCTTCCGGAATCGCTCAGTGGTGAGCAACCTTTGATGGCCGGAGCACCGGACGTGGAATCGGGTATCTCGCCGCTTACGTTTACCGTTGCAGTCACTGCACCACCATATTCACTGAACAATGGAAATAAAGTAAGTCAAGCCAAAATTTGAAACCTGCTTCATATTTATTCTCCACGAGAAGTAATAGCACTCTGAAGCGCACCGAGTAATCACAACTGCCAATAATAACCATCTACTGGCAAGAATTTTGAAAAATGAACATTTTTTTGAATTATTCTACTGATTTTGGTCAGACTAAGACCGTGCCGTTTCAGACTGTTTTCTGAGTTCATGAAACCAAACAGTCTATGAAGCACATTTGTTAGAAATGAAAAATCGTTTAATTGCTGGAAAAGTGGTGAAATCTAAAGAGATATCTGTACTTGTAAAAATCGCCAGGCGACGACGAAAAATCGGAATCGCTGGGCTGTCGAACCGTCGCTGTATTGCGGGGCTGTCGCTCATTTTGTACCGCTAAAAATGATTTTTGTCACACTTCAAGTATAATAAACCCAGCTGAGACGCACCAGGCGTGCCCGTGCGATCATGTGTTTTTGCACCGGACTTGAAGTACTCAAGTCATTGACTGTATGAATGGCTTTGCTTTACACCTACCTTTTGCAGTCACTAGCATAAATCACCATAAATTTTGCTTTAAAGGCGATTCCTCGCCTAGCTTCCCTACCCCCTTCCTAAACCATAAAACTCCAGAAAAATAAAACAAAGGCTGGAACGCACCAGGCGAGCCGGTGCGATCATGCGTTTTTGCATCAAAAC